ACTTCATTTTTGCTTATGCAGTTAATATCTGAGAGTCACAAGAAAAAAATGCATTTGTGCTACAAAGGATGTATGAAATCTTATACTAACCAATAATATAATCTTCTTGATTAAATAACACATAATGAGCAATGCTTCTCCCCAGATCAGGAAACAGGATGTATGCCTTAAAATAAAGGCTTGGTTTGTCATGCCTATAGCATGCCAACAGCTTTTTTTTTTTAAAGTGAATTGCAGGAACCAACTGTTCTAGATCCTGCCTGGGCCTGGGGCAGTCTGGTCGCAAGAAATTAGCTGACACCAAGATCCTTGTTGAAACTGACCAGAACACTGACTGCACATCTACCCCTTTCCCTGCACATCCACACTTGCCCTCCCCCCTTGTAAAACAATCTGGCTTTATAAGAGATGTTAATGTGGTTATTAGGACAGGAATGCGCTATCTTCTCACATCGCTGGCAATTGAATTAACTTCTTTCCTTCTCACCAGCACTTGTCTCATGAGTTTGGCTCTCATTATGGTAGGCAGCCAAAACTGCATCCAGTTTCATTTGCTTTCAGCCTGGCTTTGTGTCCTTAAAAGATGACGAGGGCAACTTTAGCATGATGTTGTTTTGTCAAAGAAAGCTTTAAGTGTTTGTGAAAGACACTGGCTATCATTGCATGTCTGCTTCTCCAGCCAAATGATTACCAACCCTGATTATTCCAGCTTCCCTCAGTGCTTCATCTGACAGTTATGACCTACCCATTTAATTTTGTAACCTATGTAACTACAACTCTTTCTAATAATGTCCACCATGAACCAGCAAGATAGTGACCTTGCAGATCCCCAGTATTGTGATGGCTCCTACTTGGTTTTACCTCTTCTACTCTGTCCACACACCCACCTTTCAAACCCCCCTACAATTCATTTCCACCCTGGACCCTGAATAATCCCTTAAAAATGTAAACTAGATCTTGTAACTCTCTAGCTTACAGCCCTCCAAGACTTCCCACTGCGTTTAGAGTATACCTGACCCCTCTGGACCCCTGTATCATCCACCCTTGCCCCATGCTGCTCTCTTATCCTGCCTCTCCGGCCCACTGGCAATCGATGTCTTCTTCAGACACCTCAACCTCATTTCTGCCTTCTAGACTTTGATCTTGCTGTTTCCTCTTCTAAGAACAACCTCTCCACATCTCTCTTCATACCTGGCTTCTGGCTTCTTCTCATCCTGTCCTTCTTCATCAAATACCATCTGTTCAGGAAGGTCTTTCTTACCCACCTTACTCCCTCCCCCACTTCCTTTACCACATTACCCTGATTGTTTTCTCCATAAAAGTCACCAGGATCTCAATAAAATAATCTAGGTTTTTTTGCCTGTATCTCTCCACTAGAATGTAAGTTTGAAATGGGCATAAACTTCCTGTCTTATTCATCATTATATCCTCAGTGTCTAGAACAGTGCCTGATACAGTTCCTGATAGTGCCTAACCACTGAATGAATGTTATGACCCCAAATAACATTATTTTAAAAATCACCATTTCATGTTCCAGAACTGGTTTATTGAATATAGACAAATGTAATATTAGAAGCTGTATCCCATTACTACTTCCCAGAATATGACAATCTGCATAAGAAGCATGTCCCAAAATAAGAGAATGTCTTTAGAAACTGTAGACGAAGATAAAAAAAAAAAAAAAAAACTCAGACACACTGGAACACTCTGGCTGCCTTCTTTTTCATTATAAGTAAGACAAGGTTCATGAGAGTGAGCACCAGTGCCGGGTTCTTCAGAAGTTGAAAATTAGATCAAATGAATTGGAGGGCAACTACATCTCGTGTTAATGTTTTCCTCCTCGAAGGAAGAAAATGAGATGATGTGAGCCATGACTCTATTTGAAAATGAAACTTTGTATTTCTATTTGCCTGCACATTAAAGCTCACTGTTTTCCATTTTAGACTTTTCACGTTGGTAAATGTTGCAATGCTTTACATTCATTAGGCTCAGGCCCATTTACCATGTGCAAGTGAGACAAGCACAGATATGTCATCCCCATAAAGCATCATTTCTAAATTACACAGTGAGTAAGTACTAAGCGAGAAACCCAACTTTCACAACCCTTACCACTATAGTTAAAAAAAATTTCTGCCCTGACCAGTTTGGCTCAGTGGATAGAGGGTTGGCCTGCAGACTCAAGGGTCCCAGGTTCGATTCCGGTCAAGGGCATGTACCTTGGTTGCGGGCATATCCCCAGTGGGGGGTGTGCAGGAGGCAGCTGATCGATGTTTCTCTCTCATCGATGTTTCTAGCTCTCTATCCCTCTCCCTTCCTTTCTGTAAAAAATCAATAAAATATATTTTAAAAAAAATTCTTGCCCGGCCTGCGTGGCTCAGTGGTTGAGCCTCGACCTACGAGCCAGGAGATCACGGTTCAATTCCTGGTCGGCCTGAGTTGTGGGCTCGATCCCCAGTGAGGGGCATGCAGGCAGCAGCCAATCAATGATTCTCTCTCATCATTATTGTTTCTATCTCTCTCTTCCTCTTCCTTCCTCTCTGAAATCAATAAAAATATATTGTAAAAAAATTTTCTTTAACCATCTTGGATCAAAGTTCCCTACTTGTAAAAGATGCAACTTATGAACAATCTATTATGCTCTTAGTCTAACAGACAAAAATGGTCCTAAAAGAAAACTGGACTAATCAGATTCTGGCTGTCTTTGGCAAAGTGTGATAGGTGAGAAGTCTGGTCTTGCTAGGAACCTTGGGTTGATTTCCGATGAGCTGATTAGTGAAGTCAGCAACAAAGCCAAAATGAAGTAGCGATTCATAGTGAGATGACAGTGAACACGTGCATTTAAATTTATAATTGCCCTTGGATCTATTTAATTTAGCTTTAAGTCATGAGTCGTAATTGAGATAAATGGTTCCTCTGAACAGGTATCAGCGATGACAAGAAATTGGCTGTGATTGTTTTGTTATACTGTTTTCATTTGGGAACTTTTCCTACCAACATTTTTCCTATGATGGCTATTAAATTTTATAGGATTATTCCCACCATTATGTGTAATGGCATTTGCATGTTAAATGCTTACAACAAATGAAAACCAGGGCCCCATTCTTTCCCAGGGTGAAAACCATGGTAACTGCTATTCCAAATGGAGAACAAATCTGAAGAGAATCGAGTGCAGTAATTCCTCCTGCTTGTGTGATACCTATAGAAGCTCTGTGGGAAAGCTGACTTACGTTGTGACCCTTCTGCTTTTGAGACAACATAGATTTTTGCACATATAAGAAAACTAAAGATGCCACTCTAACCCAATCAGAAGACTGCTCAAATGTTACTTTTGTTGAGGGAATTTGTTTATAATTAAATATAATTCTTCCTTTAGCACATTTAAATAAGCAGTTCCCCTTTTATGGGGCTAGAAGGGAAAAGTTTGATGGCTACTTATGGGATTTTTTTAATGGTGCCTAAAGGAATACCAAATTATGGAAACAATATAAAAGGCACACATTAAGAGTTTCTTAACCAATTTCCTCCTCTGAGAAAATTCAGCAACTTGTTCTGGAAATTTCTGGATTAATATTTATAAGTAAATAATTACTCAGGATTACCTAGACTTAGCAAAGCAAGGTCTAAGAAACTAGGCATTATGGATCTATAAAACTACTGAAAATACAACTACTTGATCTTTCTAGATCCTTTTAATTTGGTTCAGCTTACTCATAATTTCTCCACCCCCAATATTTTTTTAAATTACTATTCTTTCACTTAGAATAGCATTTAAATTGCATGATCTTCACATTCTATGCACCAAATCCTTTCTCAAAAATTCAGTTATTCCTAGAATCCTGCAGAAATGAAAGATTCTCAATAGCTAAGATAACCAATATTCAAACCTCTAATTTTTTTTGTCTTAATTTTCCCTCTCTCTAATGCATGTTTTAACTCTCCCTTGTGTTCTTCCTGAACATATTTAGTCCAAAATAGTCTGTCTCATCATGGACCCATATAAGATTTTGAAATTATATATATAATTTCCTATTAAGAGAACACCCTAGGAAATTGCTTCAGTCAGTATTTTAGAATTGTTAACTTAAAAGTCATTTCATCATCTTTTCCTTCTCTACTTTTTCTCATCTCCCCTTTCCTCCCCCCCCCACTCCTCCCCCCGCCCACCCACCCCCCCCACCCCCCGCCCAGGATTCTGTACCCAAAGCAGAATGAGGAGAACAGTGTTGTGCTTGTTGAAGAAATCAGAAGAAGATGAAATTCATTCACTTATTCCGCAGGGTTTTTTTTATTTTTTCACTTAATCACCTAATTACACCTCTTATGGCAAGCATGACCAGAGATTTGTGGTGTTATCACTATTTTTTGTCCGAATGTGCCCAAACTTTGGGCACATAGACAGACTCCCAGAGATCTGGCTTGGTGTGCGCCTGTGAGAGGAAACATCTGTACTGTTGGCAATAAATCTCAAACCAATCCCAATTTAGTGATGAACATTAGTTTTGATAAGCATTAGTTTCCCTTCTCTGACTACACATAAATACATGCATACACCAAGGTAAGCTTCTTAGCAATTCAAAAGCAATATGCAATGGGCTATAAACGTTGGTGCACAACTAACTATGCTACTTCAACCAAATCACTTAACCTCTCTGAGATTCAATTTCCACATCTTTGAAAGCAAAGCTCTCTGATTTTATTGCCCTCTAAAAGAAATGGGTTAAACACCTGAGCATGATAATTCACTTTATTCCAGCATAAAATTAATAGTCCCAAGATTTATTACCCATTGTTTAGTCTTTCCTAGTGTCCTTTCTGGAAGTGTTTCCTTCCGAAATGTTTTGGGAAGCATGCCACAACCCCGTTTCTACAAGGTCAGTGCAACCTGTCTATCCCATTTCTAAAAAGCTTTCTTTCCTTCCATTGTATAAATACTCAACCTACAAGTCACTCCAACTGGTGTGTTAGCACAACAATTTTTGAAACAGAATATTGAATCCTTGTTAATGTGACGGGAAGTTTAATACAATTCTGCGTTCATCTCAAGTAATGCTGTGGAAGTACTGACTCTATGGAAAGTAGAAACAGGTTCGCTGCTATTTTCATTTTATCTAATGAACACAGAGGAAAGGCTCAGATCTGAGAAAGAAAAGGTCAAAACCTAGAATCATAAAGGGCTATTTGCTACAAAGTTTATATAGATGCAGTTTGGTTAAAGACACCAAGCAGGGATGTCGAATTGATTAAAGATATTTAAACATATTACAATCTTTCATACAATGAGTGGTTACCTGTCACTGGGTTCTTAATGGTGTTCCACACATTAGCACAGTAAGTTACAAGCAGGTAGAGATATACATAATTGCATGCCTACTAGCCAAGCCATGGCACAGAAAGCTATTGGTGTTATATGACATTGACTGCTGAAACCCAAAAGATCATGCTGGCAACAACACTGGTCCTGGGCATCAAATCCCCAGGTACTGGTTCATTTTATTCAAGGCATCACACACGGTGTTCAAATCGCTGCGGAGATCCTGCACCACGTTCTCAATACTTCTGGTGTCTTTCAGAATCTCAACACTCTGTGTGTAGGGATTGAAGTATACTGAGAAGGGACGGGTAATTGACTTTGCAAAATCCCTGCAAAATAAACAGACACAGAAGCGTATGCGATCGGCCCTCATTGGTATACAAGATAGCTAGAGGGAAGAAACGGAGCCAGAAAAAAAATATTTTTTTATTTTCTCTGTATGGAGAAAAAAACAAGCTTACCTCATCTTTTCTTTGGCTTCTTCAAAACTCTCAGAAACAAAGTAGGCCTCCTGGAAGGTGGTGATAAGGCACTCCTGTAGGCACGTTGTCTTCGGGTCAAAGGCTTTCACACAAGCCTTGTCAGAAAGAGCGTGCTGCAAAACATACCGCAGGACCCGTGAAACTCCACGTCAGGTTTCCAAAGTGCCATGACGTCACATTTCTACAACCCAGCTCCATCATTTCACAGCACCGCTCAGTTACCAGTCCGTCGTGGGGTCAACTGAGTGTTAGGGGGTTTGGTAGCTGTCAGTGTTGCTGATTTTAAGAGGAGAAATGAGATGATGGTATTATTTTATTTATTATCTACCAAATACATATGGCAAAAGAGTTCAGAGCTGTATCCCAACAGAAATGGAATTGTAAATCTATGCTATGAATAGAAGCAGGGGTAGCATAAATACGGTCCTAAATTTACTGCTCTAAGCAATGTACTGGAATTTCACTTAAATGGCAGAAGTAATAATTACCTGCGTGGAGAGGTAACAGGGGCTCTGAATAAACTATTTGTGGACTCATTGAGAGACACTTTGAAGCCAGGTATCAACAGAGTCTAGAGTGGGCCTGCCAATTTGAGAAAATTTACAAAGCATTCATTTACCTTCCACCCAGTACAGCAGAGCAATACACAGCAGATAAATATTTCCGGGTGGGAACAAAAGAGCTAATATTAATAGTTTATAGGTATGCCCAGAGCAGGCATTAGGAAAACAGGAGAGCCAGGGCAATTACTCTCTGAGCCTTCATTAGCTCCATTCGGCTCGCTACACGGCTGGCCGAGGAACAGCAGGGAACAATGAAGGACTGGATTCTGCAGATAAGTTCAGTGATGCTAAAAGTTCATGGTCATTTCCTGCCACGGGCCACCTGCCTATTTATAGACCCTGCATCAATGATTCTCACACGGAGTGGGCATAGAATCACTAAGGAGCTCATGAAAATGCAGATACCCAGGCCTCGATTTTATTTGGTAGGTCTGGATGAATCCCAGAAGTCTGCATTTTAAAGGCATCCAAGGTGACTCAGACATAAGTGCGAAGTATATTTTGATAAATACTCCACTAGATTCTGTCTCTTAATTTCCAGGGTAAATTGGTTGGGAGAGAAAGAAAAGGGGAAGCAGTAACTGCCTTGAACTGGGAGTTGGGCAACTGGGGCTCCAATCCAGGTGCTGCTGCTGTCTGACCGGGGAACGTTGGCAAATTACTTCACCTCCCTGGGCCTCAGTCTCCTCGGCTGTAAAGAGAGGCTTGGGCTCTGTGATTTCTCTTCCAGCCTCTGGATTCCACCCAAAGCACTCTTCCACCTTCTCCATCTCTAACTGCTATGGTTTCCAAGAGAAATGCTGAAAAACCTTTCCTGTTCAGTATTCTTGGTGCAGCCCCCCAACAATTTCAAAACACATGGAATGATTTGCAGCCTGGAGAAGGCTGTGGTTCCCTAAGTTTGAAAATTTAATTGTGAACCAGAGGACTGACACGCGAGAGAAAGGGCACATGGCCCTCCCCTGTGATCTGCTTTCTGGCGAGTTCTGTTGTCCAGAGCAGTGCATATGTGAATCAGGGGATGCGGAGGGCATCTCGAAGCGAACTCATTTTTTTGGCCCACAAACAGCTTCGTCATAAGCAGAAGGTCACTAAACCTGCAAATGCATGTGTGCCAGATTCAGTGCAGTGCAGCGAATATCAGGGGATTTGGGTTCCCCGTGACTAATAATTCTGTCCACATTTTTAAAACAACCTCAGCTTCAGGAAACAAAATGTCCTCTTATGAGAGCTGTTGCTCCTCTGCAAAGAACAGGCCTCCTGTTGGGTCGCCACCGGTTTCAGAATTAGAAGTTGCTTTCTTTGCAGCCATATCTGGGAGCATTTTAATTCAGTGTGTTGCTCTCGTAGCCCATCCACCCATCAGTACATACGAAAGGAAGGACTGGGACTGACACAGTGTCGTTGGTCTTTCTCTCAGCCCCACATTCAGGAGCACGGGAAGAATCAAGGCAGAGCAGCCTGTAAGAACATTTAAGCCACAGCTCCCCTGGGGTATCCCTGCTGAGCCAACAGGACATTTCATTGGGTCTAAGATAAGCACAAAAAGGGGGTGAAACTCATCTACTAGGGTCTGCAATGCTTTATAGGAAATTAACAACCATAACAGTCACTACGTGTAGAGAATGCCTCCAGAAAATGTGTAGGCAATACTAGGGACTGGAATCAGCGTAGTTTTAGAGAAATGTATCATGGGACGACTTCACTGGACACTCAGATGAGCTTGTTTAGCCATTTTAACTGGTAAAGAGGATGAGAGGACACCAGGAAAAATTCCAGAGGCACAGGGTGCTCTGCCCCAGAATTCAAGAGAAGTCAGTGGATTCACAGCATATAATTTGAGGAAAGACCACTAGACAATATGTATCATGATTGCCTCGTGTCATATTCAAGGAAACACTGGAAGCTGGTTGGTCTATGATCTCAAAAATGCAGCCCATCCGCAGGAGCCTGTGGTGTCCAATGTGCTGGTTACCTGCTGAGGACCTGTCTATCCACGGGGAAGGGGACGGTGCTGCTCCTGGGCTGTTAGGAACATGGGGCTGATAATGGTACCCAGGACCAGCCTGGAGAATGACAAGAGCCTGGAGTTGGGGGAGCAGCCAGGGAGAGGGGACGACAAATGAAGAGGTGACACACCTTTAAGTGGACTCCTTCACCTGCCGGGGAGCTCCCTGTGTGATGACTGCCAGGAATATCCATGTAGCCCATAAGGTCCCCTGTTCTGAATACGAGAGTGTCAAGTAGCCATATCTCGTTGATTCTAAAGCCCACTGCCCACTGGAGTGAGGTCCTACTGAGTTTGCTCCTCAGCCACTATCCATATCCCTCTCTCAGCTGCTGGGCCTTGGAGAACAGCTATCACTCCCTCTCCTCGGTGCCCAGTGGGTTCTCTGTAAACATCAAGCCAGACTGCTCCATGTCCCCAGGGAACTCCGTGGTGAGTCCTTCCTGAAGTGTTCCTCAGGTGCGCTGAAGTCTGCAAGAATTAATCCAGCTTCCTGTAGAGAGGGGCCTGGTAATGCTGACAGGATCTGGTTGACAGTCCTTTATTCTCAAGCCATTTTAAAAGCCCAGGAAAGCTTGAGAATCACCTCCCCTCTTCTGAAAGGACTGTTTTGGATTTACCCATAATGCTAAAGACTAGGACACAGGACTGGGAGCCAGGAGACCTGGATTCTAAACAGAACTGTCCCAGAAGCACAGTATCACGTGGGTGAAAAACCCCCAGGTTGGGGCACAGTTTCCTCTTTGAGCAACTCCATGAATTCTAAAGCTCTTCTTGCAATGCAGTTTGAACAGGGCCTGCACTCATACCACCAACCCCTCCCTCCACCTCCGCCAGCATGAACTGCCCATAGCAGCCTTTCCCACTGAGCCTTGGCATGACCTTCCCACCTTTCCCAGCAGAGATGGACATTACTATTTAACTGGCTTTTGTGTACTTATTTGCCATTCCGGCCTTTTCAATGAAAACATCTCTTTTCAACATCAAAAACTTCCTAGAATCCAATTGTTACCTAAAGTTCCTACATGACTTTGGACAACTTATCCCACCTCTGTAAGCCTATTTCAGTCTGCATCTGGAAATGGGAATACTGTGCTAATAATAACCGCAACCCAGGGTTGTGGTAAGAATTGAACAAGGCAATGCATGCAAAGTACCTGGCACAGAGGAAGTGCTCGATATATTTGTTTATCATCGCTCAGCTAGTCTCGAGATGATGTTTGGTGTGCGTGTGCATTCAGCCACAGCTGCCACCACCGGCCCCTCTCCCCCAGGGCTCTGGAACCCACAGATAAAGACCCATGGCCCCAGCTATGAGGCTTCCAGGCCCCGCACTGCAGCAGTGCTTGCCCTGAGTTCCTCAATGTAAAATCTCCCTCCCTCCCAGCCACCTGCCTTTGTAGTGGCACAGAGTTATTATCTCTACTATTCTAGATGGAAACCCTGTGATCCTCACCCTCTCTATTAGGACTGGTTAAAGCTGGGGAAAACACAGTGTGAAGTCGGGATTACAGGTAGGCGTTGGCCTTAGATTGTGAATAAAATAAATTTGTAAATGCCTTTATACTCACACTACAATCATCTTTTCCCACATCAGAATAACAAATAAATACATTTGTATATGCACATATGTAGGTATACTACATTTTTTAACCTCCCTCTAATGTTCCTCCTGCTAACCAAGCACAACTTGGCACTGACACCCCTATTGCCAAATTTGGGGGTGATGGCATCACACTTTTTTTTTGGGTGTCCGTGATGTTGAAAGTTTCTTCAGTTTGAATAAGCTGCAGGGGTGAGGGAATCAACTCTCTCTTCAAGCAATCCTCTCATAAAGGCCGAAGATCAGTTTCCAGCTTCCAATGCTCCGGCATTTGCTCTGTCATTACTGTTAAGAGTGCTGGCTTCGGGAAGGGAAAGGAAGGAGGAAGAAGATGGGAGGTGTGAGCCAGCTGAGCAGGGTACAGGTATGGGAGCTCAGAAGCAGTGAGTCCTAACTCTAGCTCTATCTCTCCCCACTATTATACCAGATGAACTCAGAGAACCCTCTTCTCTACAGCCTGGCAGTAATCCTGACCACCTCACAGAGTCGCTGTACATGGCAGTAAATACAAATGACTGTAATAAATATGAACCTGTTCTGTGAATGCTGATTAACAGCTATAAAAAGCAGTACAGCCCGGCCGGCATGGGTCAGTGGTTGAGCATCAACCTATGAACCAGGAGGTCACCATTCAATTCCTGGTCAGGGCATATACAGGGTTGCAGGCTCGATCCCCAGTGTGGGGTGTGCAGGAGGCAGCTGATCAATGATTCTCATCATTGATGTTTCTTTCTCTCTCTCTCTCTCTCTCTCTCTCTCTCTCTCTCTCTCCCTCTCTCTCTCTCTCTCTCTCTCTCTCTCTTTCTCTCTCTTTCTCTCTCTCTCCCTTCCTCTCTGAAATCAAAAGCCAAAGTAATAATTATTAAAAAAATTCAAACCATCAGCTTTATCAAAACCTGCAAACCAAAGCCAAAGTAATAATTATTAAAAAAATTCAAACCATCAGCTTTATCAAAACCTGCAAATCAGAACAGATGTATTTATACTCTGGGATAAAGAGAGGGGAAAGGGGCATGAAAGGAAAGACGCATGCTAGACTGTGGTTGAATGGCAGTCAATTACCCTATTTTCAACCTGTTTTTAAGTCAGTTTTCCAGATGACTTAGCTGACATTAACTGCTCTCCAAAGTGATGATGGTAAGAAAAGGCCCTACGTAAACACACTTTTTTTTTGCATCATCTTTTATCCCCTCTATGCCTCCTCCACCTCCTCCCAACCTCCTCCCCCTCCCCCACAATCACCACACTGTTGTCCATGTCCATAAGTTCTCTCTTTTTTTCTTTTTTGCTCAATCCCTCTATCCCGCTAACACCCCACCCCACCAGAGCTGCCCACCTGCTCTCTGTCTATGAGTCTGTCTCTATTTTGCTTGGTAGTTCATTAAATTCCACATGAGAGTGAAGTCATATGGTACTTATCTTTCTCTGATAAACAAACTTTTAGACTTTCTGAAAGCTCATGACAAAACAGATAACTAGAACAAAAGAGAGATGAACCATTGCTGAAATTTAAAAAAAACAAAACAGCCTTTATGGCTATCAGATTAATGTTAGTTTTTACAAGCTTTTTCATATTTTTGTTTCTGTCTTTAAAGATAAAAATAAGCATTATCAAAATTGTAAAAAAAAAAAAAAAGGCAATGTTGTTATCTAAAAAATAAGACAGAATAATGAAAGTTATCCTCCAAACCATAGATATACCACTTGGAAATACTTGCTCAATTCTGAAGTACAACACCTATGCCCAGGAAAATCTAGCCTCTTAAAGCACAAAGTTTAAAACGTGTCTGTTCAAGCAGAGAAGGTGAGTTGTAGATGTTTATGTAAAAGTTATAAAGGCACCAAAACCTCCAACAACTTAGGACCTACATTTGGGCTGCAGTTGGATCACAAAAATATTTTACCACATAAGGTAACTGGATCCAAAACTGTAAGCGTGTTTACATTGGAATTATTATAATGCTATTAATAAAGAAATCCCTGCTTGGATCAAGGGCTAGGATTGATCATCTAAGTAAAAGTTAGACTGAAGTGTTGAGAAGTGTGTGAGAGGGTTGTGCACGGTGCAGAGTGGGCAGGGATGGGGTGAGGGAGGGCTGCTACGAGAGCATCTGCATCACGTTATGTATTCTCTGTGCACTATCAGAAGATTTTTCTTGTAGAAAGAATGCCTGAATTGTAAAAATGGTCCAAAGTAGCAATCATAGGGATGTTGGAGTGTTGAAATTTGAGAATGGAAGAATGCTAATGACCAGAGGTGATGGACCAGAACAGGAAGATTCATGGCTGACAATGCCCTTCGTCGGTGTACATGTTTCTGGCTGATTTCCATTTCCAGACGGTTCCATCCACACCAATAGAAACAAAAACAACAGATTCACTCCAATGCTGCCTACACATGCCTCATTAACCAGATCAGAGGACCCTGTCAAAAGTTGAGGCAATAAGAGAGATTTGTTTCTTTTGTTTCTGGCGTGATTTATAAACCCTCTGAGGAGAATGTAAATAGATGTAGCTCAAGAGCTACGTGGTTTTCTGGCTAATCTTTTTTCGGGGAAATCAAAAAGCACTCTATAGAAGGCCTAAGTCTTTCAGGTATATGACATCACACTATTGCTGTGGGCTCTGGCCACTGCGCTGAGATTAACCCCAAATGGACTATTTTTGTTGAGAATTTAGTAAAAAAAATTTACCACATTACATCAGGCTTTTGTTATGCTAAATATTATCCTCAATCCCAGCCATGCTAAGCCTCAGGCAGCCCCCTAAATCTCCTCCTCCTCATATTCACCCTTTCCGTTCCTCAGGAATCAGCTTGGGCGGCTGGGCCCTTCTCAGGAAGCCCTCCCAGGCATGGCCCACTCTGTGCAGGCCCATTTGCCACACTGTCTGTATTGTCTGATTGGGTATCTCCTGCACTAGAATGTAAACTCCTTAATAACAGGGATCCCAGGCAGTGTAGCCTCGTGGTTAAGGGTTCAGAGTCTGGAGCCCAGACTGCCTGGACGTGGTTGCGTCCAGCTCCGACACTTATTAGCTGTGTGACCTTGGGCAAGTTCCTTAATGTCTTTATACCTCAGTTTTCTCATCTGTAATGCTTACCTCATTATGTTGTTATGAGAATTAAATGGGTTTGAATGGCTAAAGTATCTAAAACACTAAGGTCTATTTAAGTGTCCATTGAGGTAGTTATTTTCTTCTTATTCTTATTCTTCCTCATTTTTTGTATTTGTATCTTCCAGTGACTGGCACCATACAGGGTACATAGTAGGTGCTCAACCAAATGTTTGAAGGATGAAGGAATGGGGTCATAAATTGAGAGGACTTGATAAAATTATAGTTAAATTGCATCTTTCAAGAACAGAAACAACCAAACACTTCCAATTATCATATATTTCCTAATTATATAAGGATAATCAATACTCAAAATAAAAGCCCTAAGATAGTCCATAATCCTGATTTTAGTCTGAATAATCAAAGAAAGATTAAATTATTTTCAGTACCATTTCTAGATTATATTTCACATTTCATTCTAAATTCATCAAAACTTACTCCACCCCAATGGTATAGATAGTAATACTGAAGGAACCAGACTATTTAAATTATCAGATGCCCCAGGCCCCAACATTTCTGAATAAATGATAATTTACTGTATTTTAAGGCCAAAAAAATTAGCATTCCTTAGGCAGCATTACACATTTTAGATACCACTCAGTAAAATAACCATATGTTTATTTAGTCTTTTTCTAAATTATATATGTTCCACATATGTTTTAATACACATCAATTTTGAAGAAGTTAAAATAATGTCAAATTCCCCTTTGGGAATAAATGCCAAGGAGTCCAGTGGAGCCATGGGGGTGACAGAAGTGAGAGCAGCCAAGGCACCCTTACAAGCAAATTTCCATCAGTGGAAGCACTGCTAGCTCATTGCCCACTTTGCAGCACTAAATTTAGGGCAGTCATTTGTTAGCCAACGTTTTAGCATACATTTGTCATTCCTGTTGATTGTGCACATAGCTGCTCATCCATTTGAGTCACGCCACAAACCCAGAAAGGCATGACCCATTTTCAGAAGTGCAAAAAGTTAGGTTAGCACCCACGTTGAGGTGCCAACTCCTCTGTGTTAAATATTTATGGAGTATCTGCAAGTAGAAATGCGCAGACAAACAAATCAATATTTTCCATGACCTTGAACCAGTTTGCTTGGGAAGGATACTTTCGTTCACAGCTTCATACCTTTAATTCTCCAATGGAAGAAAGCAGTCCTGCTCCATATGCCCGCAGTTGCCCTTCTTGCTTGCAAAGGCCAAACTCAATTGTAAAGAAATAGCACTAAAAAAAAAAAAAAAATCAACACACATCCAGTAAACTGGTCAACAAGTTCTTCCTTAGAATAAAATGGTGCACTGTGCATAATTTCTTCAACCATGTCAATTTACAATCAAAAATATTTATTGAAATCTACTTTCTTGTTTAATAATCCCTTCCTAGGTTAGAGGTATACAGAAAAGGTATCAACCACTAGAAGTCTTATGCTTGCTAGATTCAGAAACCCTGTGAGTCATACAGATCCCATGCAATAATTTTAAAAGTAAAACAAAAAACAGATTTAGAAATAAATGAATATGTTATCATGATAATGCTGTAAGCATATGCTATTATGCTTACTAGGTTGTGTATTAGTGATACTAATAAGTTCATGCATATGTGAAAACATAATATAGAATCTAGTGATCCCAAACTGATGTTTGCAGTTTGTTTATTAATTCAACAAACATTTGTTGAGTACCTTCGGGATGCCAATGATTGGTAAAGAAACAAGAGAGAGACCAATAAAGCAAGTACATGCCAACCAAATTACCAAAACCACAATTTTAGTATGTTTTTAGTGATAACTTAAGTGTATGTACACATATATATATTTAAATATATATAGTAAGAACCATTTCATTGACCTGCAGTATATCAGCACCAACTACTACAGCTTTCCCAAGATATTAAAATCTACAATTGGTTCTGTTGAGTTGAGGAAATTAACCTAGACAGACAGGAACCTCTGTACAACCAAAAACTCACAATGCTCTTGAGAGAAGCTGAAATCACACTATTTTTGCTTTGAGAAAAAAGTGAGAAGCTGACAATGAGCAATAAAACTTGCATCAAATTAACACCGTCCTGCATTAGTGATGACAGGGTGCTGAAGGTGCTGAGAAAGAGGAGAATTTCAACACTCCTGAAAGGGGCAGAAAATAATATTTCTAGCCCATGCCAGTTGCTCTATTTTTATTTGGAGGTTAACGTGCCCCTTGGTTCAGGAAGGTTTTCTGTTTCTTCAGTGTGAGGATGATCTGAAGTTGCATGGGCTAATGCCCGGCAGCTCTGGGCTGGACCCAAAGGGCTGGTCAGTCCAGGTCACGGAGCTGAACCTCTAGAAGCACATTTTCTTTTCCTGGTTCAGCTCCCAAGAAAGCTAAGACGATAGCCCTTCCTACCCCATCACCCATCGTGCCCACCGGCACCCTCCTGTGTTCTGACTTTTCTTTCTTTCCCATCACACCACTCTTCTGACATGGTCTTCACTTTATTTATGTTTGGCCGGTACCATTTGTCATCTGTCTCCCCACCCTGGATTATAAACTCCATGAGAACAGGGATCTGTCTGTTCACCTAGAACAGGGTTTCCCAAGCTCAGCACTACTGACAGGTTAGGTTGAATAATTCTCTATTGGGTGGATGGGTGGGTGGGTGTCCTGCATATGGTGGAATGTTTACGGGCCTCTACTCACTAGATGCCAGTAGCACCCCCGCCCCAGTTATAACCACCACAAATGTCACTAGACATTGAAATATGTTCACACAGGAGCAACATCACTCTTGGTTGAGAACATTAATATGGAATAGTGTCTAAAACACAATAAGAGCTCCATAAATATTTGGTGAATTATCTCTAAGTTAATTAGGCTTGTTGTGTGGCGGTATGACCTGGAGGAAAGAAACATAATGAGGCCTGCGTTCAAGTGTAAGCCCTGCTTTTAATTAGTTATGTGACCACAACCTCTCTAGCATATAGTTTTTCTGCCCGTGGCATCCATTCATTCATTCATTTATTCTATAAACACTCCTTGAGTACCTACATGCCAGACTCTGCTTTAGCTGTTAAGGATATGCAATGAACAAAGCAACAAAGTCCCCATCCCCATAAAGCATATATGCTATGCTGAGATGAGAAGGCAACAATAACAACTACAAAAATCAATACGCAGGGTAATTTCAGGTAGAATATGCTGTATAAATAAAACCATGTAATGTGTCAGATATTAAGCAAAAGACATGGCTATTTTAGGAGGAGAGGTCAGGGAAGGCCTCCCTGAGGGAGAAATATTTAAACTGCAACCTGCTTGAAAAACAGCCTTTTGTGCAAAGATCTAGGGCAGAAATGGAGCACATCCAAGCCGTGTAAGGCCCGCAAAATCCCTTGGTCTGGCCCTGCCAAGGCCTCAGGGGTGAGTTAATTAAGTGTTTAACCAAATATATCAGGCTAATTTTTAAGCTGATAATTTTGTATGGCCCTCCAACAATGTTATAAATATCCAGATGGCCATTGGCATAAAAAGGTTTCCCACTCCTGGTCTAGGGAAAAGAGTATTCCCAGCAGAGGAAGTGCAAAGGCCCTGTGGCGGGAATAGACTTGTATTTCCAAGGACAATGGGAAGTCATTGAAAGGTTTTAGGCCTGGAGAGAGATGCTCTAATTTAGTTTTCAAACGATCATGCTGGTGCTGGGTAAAGAATAGATTGCAGAGGGGCAAGAGTAAAAGCAAAGCAACCAATTAGAAGGAAGCGGCAGCCAAGAGACAAGGGAGTTGAGTGACTTAGAATAGTCTTACTTGGGCGAGGGGTAGCAGGGGGTTGGGAGAAGGCAATATCACATAGGTCTCTCATGAGAAGAACCAAAATAAGAGATGTGAATATGTTTTTGAAAAGTTAAAATACACAGGATAATTTCAGGTAGAATATGCTATATAAGTAAAATCATGTAATGTGTCAGATTGCACAATACTGGGTACAATGAAGAGAAATGATCATATATACTCATAAAACAAGAAGACTGAAAGTTCAGCCTCCTATTTTATCAAAAGGAAACTCACGTCTAAGGAGATTAAGTGATTTGCCCAGGACCAGTCTACATGGTGACATTTAAGAGATCTAGAGCTCAGTATTTTAAAGTTTCTAGGTAAAAGATTAATAAATGCATGATTTTCCCTGACAACCAAAAAAATGGAGAAATAAAAGTCAAACAGGAAAATTAGAATCTCACAGCATCTTCTTAGTGTGTCTTTAAGATGACTTCTCTAATGTATATTGCACATGATGTGAAATCCTTGGAACCTTAACATTGCATACAGAAGTATTTGTAAAATAAAATAAAAAATGTGCTGTCATGTTCTAAAGCCTCCAAAATACACATATGAAACCAGCTACAGGAGCCTTTAGATCAACCTATTAAGAGCATCTTCCACCCTGGCCGGTTTGGTTCAGTGGATAAAGCATCGGCCTGCGGATTGAAGGATCCCAGGTTCGATTCCGGCCAAGGGCACATGCCCGGGTTGTAGGCTCGATCCCCAGTAGGGGGTGTGCAGGAGGCAGCAGATCAATGATTCTCTCTCTCCCTCTCCCTTCCTCTCTGAAATCAATAAAGAAATATACTTTTTAAAAAAAGAGCATCTTCCGTTTTCCTTATGCTACATCATTGCATACATAATGCATGTTCATGGTTATGGCCTAAACCAAAACAGGCTGAGGGAGCCCCTGAGAAAACATGGTGCACTGTGCACACAGTCTTCAGATGGATTTGGCATCCCATCTAATTTTAAGAGAAATTAAAAGGTCTGCATCAACTCAACTAAAGATTCAAAGCTACACCTATCTGTGTGTCTAAAGTCCTTGTGCTTCTAGAATCAGGGCAACCTCAGAGGAGAGAGTGTGTTCTCTTCCCATCACCAGGAACACTCTCGGGCCCCAGACCCCTTCTGGGGGTCCTTCCAGAAACCCTGACCTTCCACAGCTCCGTCTGCTCTTTTCTTTTATCCACCTTTCCCTTTGGTTTCCTATTGTCCTCAACCATGAAAGGTACCTACACGCTGCTTCCACAGCCCACTCTCCCCGCAGAATTAAGACCTTTTGCTCTGAGACAGTTTTCCATTTGTAGCTCCACATGTGGCTACCAGGTAAAGAGAAATGGTAAAATGTACCTGAACCTTTGCTGTTGGCAACATTTCAATGACGGACTGGCTCAGAATAATTTTCTTTTTCTGTTTCAGTAGCAATAGAGCCCTCAAAATGCAGGCTGCCCTGGTTGGTCATGGTCCTAATGGTGAAGAGGGGCGACTGCACGTTTCTTTCGTCTGATGTTAAATGCAAGGCCTGTGTAGCATTGACCTGGGTGACCCCTTGACGACCTTTCAGAATCCAAGAACTAATTGCTTCTGAAACGGTTAAGAAACTATCATTTGTTTTCCTCAGAGAATTCTCCAGATGTGGATCTATAATATATCCCCTAGAGATTTACCAAATAATTAACCTGCCTATTATTTAAAAAACAAATAAACAACAACAAAAAAACCCTCGAGCCTTATAAAACCAGTAAAAGAGAATTACAGATTCTTGGCCACTAATGTCCTTTAAACAGAAACAAATAATAATACTAAGAGTAGCACCTCCCAAATTGAAGGTTACCTTTCATCAAAGCTGAAGTTCATGAATTCCGAGTTTTACATGCCACTAATTATATGTAATTATTTATAAATATTTCATTTGAATATAATTACATATAATCATTAACCGAAAACCAAAACAGGAATGATAGACTGGACCTCTTCCACAGAAAGAAAGCAGAGTCGTTTACATACACAGAGTCATTAAGCAGAAGAAAGTCTGAGTGACAGTCTGAAATCCAAACCCTGCTGTGGAACAGGCTGCTGGCCGCGCTTCCACAGAGCAGGTGCTGAGGGAATGCGATAGGTCGCCCAATGCTGCCACCGTCAGGTCACTGCCGGTAGCACAGCACCTCTGCAGCAGTTCCGGCGAGCCAAATGGGCAGTCGTGAGAGAGAGCTTGAGCTAACACAGTTCATAGAGACTGAACACACCAACACAACACCACTGGTCCCACATGGTGACTTACAGAAGCCCACAATGCAACGTCCTTCTTATGTTTGGTGTGAGGTACCTGAAGCTTTGGCTAAGACACATATTCCAGGTAAAGAGATGAGCAGGTGTGTGTTTTTTTCAAAGAACTCTTGATGGAAAAGAAATTTACTGTTGCAATTTCCCT